AATTTCACTTGTAAATCCCTGCTAGAAAACTATTAACGCGACTCAAAGTTATTAGCATGTAAGCGTTAAAAAAATGACGCTGTATACATCCCATTTGCAATGTACTAAATTAAGTTTCCCCCTTCAAGCTAAAAACAAAAGCGTTTACAGAATTCCAATATCTCTATCCGTTTTCAAAACCTAAGGTCGCACAATTTTATCTAGAACATCTGTACATGGAAAAATTAAAATATTTACTACATAATACGAATATGTTCTGAACTGGGTCGATATCTAAATTAATTTGGTGCAAACAATTGTATTTATACCAATATTACTAAAACGGACTTTTAATTTATACTAAATGTTGATGTGCCAGATGATGTTTTTTGTTTTGAAAAGTTTTTAAATTCTGTTCTATGGGCATATTTTCCAAATAAATTTGAACCAAATTTTGATTTAAGTGCTTTTATTTTAGTACTTTCTAGTCTAGCTTTATATTCTAGTCTCGATACACACACCAAAACTAGAAATATTTATAATTAGTTTTTTTATAAAGATAGCTAGTTTTAAAATATTTAACTGATTTTGAGTATCTCCGATGTCGCACAATATTTAGTTTTTGTACAATAGTGTAAGAAAAGTGTTCATTATAAGACTGTTACCCCGTAGTGATACGGTTTACCTTTTCTATTTATACAAGTTGATTCCCCTTACATTTAAAATAAAATATGTATTAATGTGTTTTTTCAAAAATCATACTAATCCATTAATGAAGTAGTCAATGTATGGAATTATTGAATTAAAATAATTAATTAAAATAAATTAACTGACATATTTAATCTACATCACAGGTTAGGTTATCACATAATTAGGAGTAATTGCATGTAATTAATTATAAAAGTGGTCAGGGATCTCAGCTTGTTTCCTTATGCTAATTAACAGTAATAACGAATCGATTTCCGAAACATAAAAATTATTTGATAATTTTGAGGTTTCGGAGATAGATCACCATGTATGTTCCTTACAATTTGAAAGTAACTTATACCTTGTTTATTCTAACATGGTGATGTTCATTAACCGAAGCGTTAATTATTATTTAATTCTTCACAGATTCTACAGTTATACTAATTTGCGGAAGCATAAAAAAGTTTGAAATCCTATTAAAAAAAAAACTATTATAAAATCGAAACATCTGGAATTACACATTATAATTATTAAAAATATATCAACTTGCTGATTGACGCTACGTAATTCTTAAACCAACGGAACATGTATGTACAATCTAAAAATTATCTAGTTAAGTACGAAATTTTAAATTATCTACTTAAGTATGAAATTTTAAATTATCTGAGGTATGTAATTTTAAATCAGGGGGAAATAAAAAACTTTTATGAATTTATAACTGCATAATGATCGTGTTCCGCTCGATCCAACTGATCTCTTTATACACTTCGAAGAGAGAGGTAAGCAGTTACATCTAATTCCATTAACTCATCCGAAACACCAAACGGATGCATGTATCACCAGTCTATTATATCGAACTATATCTGTGTTTTCCGGTATCATAACATTTATAATGGTCACTCCTACAAATACAATCTTGTAGGGATGGTCAAATTGTCAAAGTGTGGAATTTTGGAACATAAGTGAACATTGAAATTTTTCTTGCTTCTTATCTGTCGTTTTTTGCTAAAGCATCAGAATCATGTATATACTTTGAAAATAGCCAAGGCTTCAACTTTTCTGAGGCATAAGTAGCTCCTTAGTCTCATCGTAGATTTGTTGTGTTCTAAATTTACGTTTGAATCCGCAGCACATATTTTGGGTACATTTATTATTTTATTAAACTTCTAAGCAGTTACTACTGAAATACCTGTTTCCAGAAAATCAACACCAAGTTGATGAAGACCTGTGTTAAAGTGTCAACGTTTTTCCATTAACTGCTTCATGGTAAAAAAATTGACTTCACTGTTGCGGTAGAATCTGATAGTTTACTCCGTGTTATCTAACGAGTTAAATAAATATATAGTTTTGTCATTCTTACATACTAATATTTTGAGGACAAGGAATATATTGTTTTTCTTCTTGATTTCTCATTGCTAAGAATTCTACATCCACTTTTGCTGCTGTTTTGTCCATGATTTTTTAATAAATTTCCGACCTTTGTTTTAACATCTCTTTTGATAATATGCTGACAAATTACTTGTGTGTTTTTTCCAATTCTGCTATTAGGTAAATACTTGATTTTATTGTTGTCCCTTATTTCTGACTGAAGTCAGAGTTTCATATAGTTCTGGGTATGAAAGTTATTTGAGTCCATACTACTAATGTTTATGTCCCTTGTTTTTCCTTTCATCAGCTGTGTAGACAATTACAAGAAATTAAAAAAGTTAGGGAAATTTGAGTTTTCAACTGAACAGCGTAAATCTTTATCATTTGGATTGACTTAATTTCAAAGTTTAAACCTTTAAATATTTCATTTATTTTAGAATACATAACTTAAAAAAAAAACAATAAAGCTGATATATTGTATTTTCATCACCAGATGAAAACTCCTCATTAAAAAAAAAAAATAAATAAATAAGAAATGTTTATTTTATTCACATACTACTTACTTTAGTGCCTACAACTTTTTTGTGACGTTTATTAAAAAAGGAATCGTTTAAATTTGTTTAAGGTTTTTAATTTAAACGTCACTTAAAATTTTCGGGTCATTAACTTTATAGCTATGTACTTCAGCGAGTTAGGTACTACTTGGTGAAATTGCAGCAGTTCTAGCAGATCTGGTTTTTCCATGATTGTTAATAGACAAAGAAACAATAAATAAAATAAGTAATAATTCCGACAAATAATTATTTTTAGATGGGGAGGTGTTATTATTATTATTTAAAATGTTGTTAATAAAATAATTTGCAAACTACGTAAACAGTGCGTTCTGAGTCATTAAATAATCGCACAAAAACAAGCTGTTCGGTCAGTCAATAAAATAACATTATTATTATTATTTCTGTTTGTTTATAGTATGCAATGTAGCGTTTTATGACCGACTGGGTTCTTTTTACCCCACTAATGCCATTTTTTCATTTTTCCGAATCAGAAAAACTATGACTATTTTTTGCTGACTTTTGAATTAATAGAAATTAAAAATTTATTAACAAAACGCTATAAAATGGAGAATTTTCTTATTTTTCGTACACGAAGTGCTGAAATTGACTTCATTTATAAAAAGAATTATCAATGAATATTAGGAGCAAAATTATTTAACAATAAATTATTTTCCAGCCAAAAAAATTTGAACGTCTGGTAATAAAATTGGAATTTAAACATACAGCGAGTTCATTATTTCAAAACAATCTGTGCATTGCTCAAATTGTTTGGTACGTATACGAAGAAAAATATTTTCAATGATACGAACTCCTAAGCGTGAAGTTTTATCATTAATATTTGTCCTAAGGCAATGTTTTTGAAAAACATTACACAAGAGATGAGGCAACGGCAACGATTCGTTCGTTTTACATTTATACGAGCATACATAACTCTTAATTAAACTAGAATAGCGTCTCCTGTCGCTGGCTGCCGTTGTCTTAAGAGGGACATCAAACAAAAAATCTTTTGTATTTTACGATTATATCACGGTTAATTTTAGAAACCGCATTATATTCGTTAAAATAAAATAAGCAGACTTGTTTAAACGATAGAATTGTAGAAAATATAAAAACCTCATTTAAATATTAAGACAAGTACACCGACGTTACTAAATGAAAATATTTTGATTATCCAGTTCCATATTCACCTGGAGTGATGTCATCGTCACATACAGGTAACATTAAGACATCGAGCCAATATTTCCAACACGTTATTGCTGAATGTAGGCGATTTCTTGACGCATTTCTAAAAAAAATATCTTTTTTCACTTCCATTTAAAATCAAGTTGTTTTTATGCTGAAAAAGCTATCCAGCGATAACAAAATGCGGTTTTTGCGAGAACCGCGGTGAGCACCTGTTGAATCGTCGTAAATACGTACCTACGTACAAAAAAGATATTATGGGTGATTGTAGACAAAATTCAATTTTCTACTTATTTAAATGATAAATTTTGTGTCAATATTAAAATAATCTCCACGTACAGGAGTAACGCGGTATTGACCAATCACCACATGAAATCATGAATAGTGGTTGACACTTCCTGGACATCAATGCACAATTGCATTATTTTTATGAATAACTGTGATTCGGTTTATTTTGTGTAAATTAAATTTCAACAACTCGGAAACTTATCTTCATTTTGTATGCGGGACTATGAACTCTGGTTTGTCCTTGTAGATTTGAAGTCATCAAGGCCACTTCCACTGATCATAATTAGGTGAGGGAATTTAGATTTTTTTACCTGCCAAATATAAATTTCAGTGTTACATAATAATAATTACATCTTCCAGTGTGGAGCAAGCAGAGCACGTTAATGTTTTTTAGTGCAACTGAAGCCGACGAAGAACTTTAACTCCTGTTAGGTCACTTAAAATTTCACGGCTGGTTGAGCGCTGATAATGATCCTATTGGCATGAAATTAAATTTTTAAATTCTCACACGCCCAACTCGTCTTACTCTACAATGTAATTGTGCTACATTAGAGTAATGAGATTTCATCAATTTCTTGACTTACTTGGTCTTGTGGTTTTCTTGCAGTCGAACTACGCCACCAGGTTGTATGTACATACAAAATTATGGTTAATTATGGTAAGATGTGCAGATGGTACTTTATTTACCAGCACATCAACCTGCTACATTAATCAATGCTAATCGATAAGTGTTGGCAGATGTCAAATTTCTATTTACCAGTTTAGTCGTAAAAAGTGAAAAAATTAAAACGACATGTCTGAATGTATTATGAAATATTTTAACCTTAGATAACGATAAGTATAGTAAACACGGCACTAAGAATGAATTATTGTTTTGATTAGACATTTTTAAGACAACGAACGGTGATAACCTTTCTGTATCAAGAAAATGAAACAAAAATAGAGAATTAGAAAAAATGTATTGACTTACAAACTACACAGTAAGGTAACATAGCAAAGTCTTGTAAAATAATTCAGTCAAAGTTTCTTAAATTTTAAGAGGAGAGGTTCTGACGGATGCACCACCATCTTCATAACTATATCAATATTATTCTTATTACAGAGTTCGATATCAAAATTTTTAACAAACTTCAAAAGTGTCGTTTGTAGCTGAATTTCAGCAATTCTCTTTCCGACACAAGATCTCAGTCCCATTGCAAAAGGTAAACTCGCTCTCTGCATTTTAATATCATACATGGACTCTCTACGATCCCACCTCTCCGGTTTAAAACTGTCAGCATCTGGAAAATAGCGCTCGTCACGACCGGTGGTGTACAAAGACAGAAGAACAGGGGTGCCTTTAGGCACCCCATAACCGGCCACGACGCCATCCGCAGGTAAAATTCTCGTTAGAAATGTCGCAGTGGGGTACATTCTTGCACCCTCCCTCATAACAAACTTGGCCATTGTTGGATTCACACGCAATTTTTCTTGAACATGTGGATGTTTAGCCGTTAGGTACAACATCCACTCGAAAGACACAGCGGTGGTGTCCCCAGCAGCTAAAATTAGATCCACGATGATCCTCTTAATCATCTCAAATTCTATTTTCTCGTTCATCAATTTAGGGAGCAATCCATCTTGCGCATTCAAAGTCTTAAGGGTGGTAACCAAAGAGTTCGCGTCACGCAACGCGTTGTGAACAGCGTCGACAAAACGGTTCCATCGCGGGATTTTTAATTTTGAAGCCAGGGACACCGGAATCACCGACAAATCTGCAGTTGTTTGAAAAATTAAGTGTACGATTTTAGCTAGATTTGTTACCTCTGTGTCTAGGTCTCGGTGATGTTTCTTATACGTTTCAGCCCCCAGTAAAACCGAGACTATAATATCCGCGGACCATTTGTAGAGCCGCCCCTTCAAGTCTTCGTAACACTCACTACCCGTTTTTTCTATTTCGCGGACGAAGTTTTCATTCACGATTTCGCAGGCGTCGTATATCCACCGCGTATCTCCTTTTAGAAGTAAGGTATTGAGTATCCTCCTGTAGTGCCACCAGTCAGGCCCATCCATGAAAAAAATCCCCCTCGGACACCCATACATTTCGTTGTATTTTAGCCACGCGTCTGGGACCAAGTGACTGGGGTATTTACCCTCTTGGTCGAACACATCCCTCATCACTTCCGGGTCTGCGACGAACACGGACTCCAAAACTCCCAGTTTTTCCCTGAAGATGGGTCCTAATTGTTTGTGTCTCTTGTCGATGTATCTATGTAGTTGCTGGGTGGATCCCTCGGCGATGAGGTCCAGCGTAGTGCCCACGAGGGGTAGGCCCTTCGGCGATGGTATGTCCTGATAGTCGAGCACGGTGTTGGCGCTCACGGCGGAGCTCTTGAGGCGTTTCAGTTGGGTAGAGAGAACACGACGGAAGAGCATCGTTACGGCTCTACGACAACACTGTTGTGACCTGCGACCGGTCGTAGATATAAGCAAATAACGGCATTTTTCACTATCATCGGCTCTAGGTATAGTGCGTAGTGTTAGGCGTGTTCTTTCCGGCACGGGGCTTAATTTGGTTTAATTATGGGGGCACTAATCCTCGTTAATTTTTAATTAATCGGGGGACGTTTACGAAAGTAAGCGACGCTGCAACGGTATCAGTGTGTGTTTAAACGCGATAAGTTTATCTCGATGACAATGGGATTTTTTTAGTAATTTAAACTTTTTTATAATTCAGTTAGTGAAAGATTTATGAAACGGCTTATTTTTTGGTCTGTTTTGTTATCAAGAAAGCGAAATTGTGTTGCTTTTAGGTTTAACGACGACGTGTTTTTAATTAAAACTGAATATTTAAATTTATGCAGAATTAGCAGGTTACACACAACAGGAAATTATTACAGTATTCACGTTTTTCGTTATAAATATGACCTGTTCATACATAACAGATTTCAGATATTACATGACGTGTGGTGCTGGTCGTAAATAGGAGTAATAAAAAAAGTTTTATTTCGTGAATATTGTGAGTCCAAACGTTTAAAAAAAATCTAATTAGGTGTGTCATTATTTTTTGTACGACCTTTTTCCGCTACTAAATTTGAAAACTTTGGTTTACCGTTGTTTCGCGTCATCGATTTTTTATGGCAATCCTATTTTTATACTAAATGACTATGCAAAATATACTTAGTTAAATCGTTAAAATTTCAGGTAGTCAAATAAAAGCAAATAAGTAATTAGAGCAAACAAGTCGGTTTAAAATTACAGAGGATATACTTACCCAAAATTTTATTGTTTTTAATATACTGTTATTGTTATTATCATTGTTATTACATTTTTAACAGAATTTTCCTTGTAAATGTAGGAGTTAAAATTTTATCTAAAAAAAAAAATATACAACTGTGTTCGATCTTGAAACAGCGATAAAAATATTTTGGGCTCAAAATACCCACAATATTTTTTCTACAACATAAAGAAATTTTTCAAACAATAACGTGTTAAAATAATTATTGTTACTTTGTAAATTTCAAACTAAACAAATAAACAAACAAACAATTTTACAAATTTTATTTTTTATGATAACCCCTATAAATTAAAGAAAAGTTAGATGTGGACTGCTATGCGTATATTTCAACTAGCTGTCCCATAACAAAATTTTGTGATGACATTTTAGGAAAAACACGTATATCAGTTTGAATAAGTGCAGTGTAATACTAAGAATAACAGTACTGTATACTTAAATTTTCGGAAAAGGGGGTGAGCCGTTCTTGATTTGGACAGTAAAATAGATTGCCTCATTAATTAAATTTTTTCAGGCACCCTGTATTAGGAATTTTGAAATGCCGTCCTTAATTTTTTTGAGGGATCAACGCTTACCATAGCTTTAAAACATTTGCAAGATTTCAGAGAATTCGTTTTTGCAGTTTCGAAATTAAATTGCAAAATGTTCTACAATTTTTTTTTCCAAAAAGTTTGATGTCCAGGGTAAAATCTCAACACGGATTCATAAGCCATAAGGGCAGGAGTATTTTATTTTATCAAATTTAAATAAAATGACCACTGTAAATTTTGGAGATGACGTTATACCGTTGTTCGTGGGGATGCTTAGCCAAATGTTAGTCAGCGTTTTACCATCTGCACGATATTCTTTAAGAGTATAAAAAATTTGGCAACAATTGTTTTAGTAGATTATCTGTCTAATAAAAATCTGGACAGAGGATAGACAGACAGAAACGAGAGACCAATTTTTTTAGTACTCTAGGACTGATGAACCGTCGCGAAAACATAAAAATGGCCAGTCGCCCGATGGACTCGATTACAATACTTCCTTAGCTCGGAAAGTAAAGATGCTTATTAGATCAAGTTCTTTTATCCATTCCCAAAAATACCATTTTTCATTTTCTGAACTTTTAGGAACACAGTAACATTATGATTAGTGTTACATTGTATGAATCAAAATTAATATGTATGTTTCCATTTTCCATCAAAGGTTGCTGGCATCAGCTCGAAAAATACGAAACTATTACATGTGCTGCAACATTTTTTTTTGGATTGCTTACAAAGAACATCTTAAAAATAAGAATGTGTGTTGTTCACTGTCAAAAGCGGGTCATCTAATTTAAAAGAAATTCTGAGGTCAAGATTAGTACACTTACCTCCACAATTTTCATTGACAAGTGTTCTCTAAGATGCAACGTTAGTTGTGCTTCAAAGGCAAGGGAAATTCTAACTTTCTAAATAACTTTGCGTATACTTTTTGTAACATCTTGGATTTTTTATTCCGTAGACAGCTTTATAACTTTCCAATTTACTTACACTTTTGAGTTTTTTTCAAATCAGTGTACTTTAGTATAAATGACATTTTAATAATAATAATAATTAACAAACATGAGATTTTTTCATTTTTCTTCGTAATTTACAACTTAAAAAGTTTTACTGGTGTTGTCAAAACTGCTCTTCAAAGATAACTTTGCGAATACATTTTTAATAAATATCAATAGTACTCATTTTTGTTTCCAAAAGTGTGTTAACAAAGGAATTTTGCTTATTGTTAATTGCACTAGGTAGATGATCTTTAAATCTAAGAACTGATTACATTAAAATTGTAAATGTAATTTACGATTATCGTGAAGATATAAAAATAACATTGACCTCTAGCTGTAGTTTAACTGTTCACTTATTTCTAGCGTTGCGAATGATACTCTCCTGAAAAAGCTTAGATCTTCAAATTTTACCATTTATTTTAGGGATTACATTTTTTATAAGATACTTTGACTGATTTGCAGATTACTGAACATCAGCCAAACTTCATTGTTGATTTCCTTCAGAAAGTTGATGACGTCATCTCAAGTGTTATTAAAAAATATTGAAAAACATTCATAGATTTGCGATATTGCTTGTCTTTGAAGGAAATTTAAAATTCCTTTTATTTTATGACTTACGTTACTGAACATACAATTTGTATTTTCACGTTGCATTTTTAAATCATAGTCGTTATAGTCACCGACGTTTGTATGACAAAGAGTGTCTTTAATAGGTATCTTTGCAGAATGTAGTTTGCAAAATTAAAAAGAAAAAAAATTTGTATAAAGAAACTATGTCAAGAGTCGTATCGAATCTATAAATTTACGTTCACGATTGACTATAACTTTTGTAGACATTTACAATCTTAGGAAATTAGTTTAGTGATTTATTTCCACTAAAAATGACGTCATTATCTCACCTTATATTGTATAAGAGACTTTATTTTATTTTTCGTAATTTTACTTTTCTGTTATTACATAATATTCAAATTGCTTTTGATGTATTAGGCTGTAGCATCTGGTACTTTTTCACTATCATAATTTTAAAATTCATAAGACTTTATTATGAAGCACATCTGAAAAATATCTAACTAACGTAGTGAACGTTTTGAAAACTATATTGGAATCTGACATCGCTATATTAACGGAATATTTCTCTAAGCTTAGGAAAGATATCACTCACTGACTCTTATCAACCTGTCTACTTTCTTTTTTACACATTCTATTTTGTTATTAATGTTATTTAAAAATAAAACACATGTGATTAACTTGTGTGTTAACATATATAAACTAAAGTGTTAAGTCTATTTGTTCATATACTTATGTCTAATAAAATAACTAGACAGCAAATATTTGCACTGAAACAATGCTACCATGAAGTTGTACGTAAATGACAATTCCGTGAACAATTATCTCATTATCTTTTTGTTGATCGCATCACAGTGCAAGTCTGAAATTTTAATTCTGTATTATCATTTTTTCACAAGACAGTAATGAGATTACATTACAGTTAATATTTCGTGGTGCAGAGCACAGACAGTTATACACCACTCCAACACTTTTGCTAATATCTTTATTGAATTGAAACCTGACTGGCTAAAAAATGGGGCAATAATATTACCCACGCAACGCCCTAAGTTTTTGAATGTGTCATTTGTAAATTCTTATGACTCACGCATAGAAGTTGCACCTATAACAACATATAAATATCAACACAAATAAAATGGACAAAGCTGCAACAAATGCACTTCGTATACTTACGTATTTCAATTAAATGGTAACTCCTACTTACGAACTTCAAAACATCCCAAAGACTGAGTTTAATGAATTTAATTCCACTTTGATCTTGTTAAATTAAAAATTAATTTAAAAAAAGCAATGAAAACTCCGAAACAGATCGATAACTTGCGATCAAATACCTGATCTTTCATTTAGTAATTAACTAAGTGAGTGCTTGCCGAAGTTTTTTTTTATTTTCTCAAACATTTATTGACGATGTATTTTTAATTGTCAATAAATGTGGTGGGGACATGCGCTTTAAGTAAAAGAAGATCTGTCGATTGCATAATAATATTAATAATGTTACATGTTGTATTTTCGTTGAAGTGTCTTATGAAACAATAATGAATAATAATTTTCTTGGAAAAAATGTTAAAATATTGTTCTTTGAGTCGACTGCACAATTTAAAAGGACTACACTACATGTAGAAATCAAGATTCTTATTTTTCCCCTCTAAATACATAGCTTATTTTTGTGTTATAATAATTTTTGTAAGGATTTGAATATTTTGTCACCTCGTTGGTAAATTCCGCAATGAACGTAAACGAGTACTTACAACACAGCTATTTCAATACTTTGCTTTAATAAAACATTATTACTATTGACAGTTTTGAACATAAATTAATATTGTACAAGAAAATTCGAAAATGTTTCTTAGAAAATACCAAACCGATTGATTTGAAATTTTATCATCCGAAAATTTCCATAAGTACCTAAATGTTGTCTAAAATATGCAAAATATTGTGTGTCTACCTACATACTCGTATATGGTTAAGCAAAACATATACTAATATTTGTAACTTTGCCTAAGCAGATTTTTGGAAAAAATCAAAATTATGCAACAAACAATAAACACCAATCACTCAGAAACTTAGCACATACTTGCTAACCCTAATAGATTGCTAATTAAAATTTGTCTAGCCATTCCCACTAAAATTTTGATGACGGTGCTTCAATATATAAAATAATGATTGTATACATATATACATGTTCTTCCTGAATATGCTTCTGATATGTGGGAAGTTCTAGTACTAACTTTAGACTAATTTTTGGGGGAATTAGTCTGGAAGTTTGTCCAAGCTCGTTGCTTATATCGGAAGAAAATCAGACATGAGAATTATTTTTGAAAACAATGTTTGGTTTCAATATGACAGAATTCGGATTTCGGAACAAACAAACAGATAATAATCGGATATAGTAAGGCGCTTCAAATATAATGTAAACTTACGGATGTTGACGCGTTCAGCCAAGACTCCAAAGGAGATTAAAGTTTCTTGCACCGGTTTGGATAAAATCGAATGTCGAATATAGTACAGATAAGGGAAACATGCGGTCAAAGAGCGAAGTGCAGACATAGTTTAGGTCCAAAAGGCATATACATACTTTTAAAGATCCAGGTTATTATTATTACTATTTTTTTTAATTTGATTTTAGCTATATTTTAGTTTGAACTGGCTGACATTTACTGTTAATTCATGGATAACGTTTAAACTTTTCTCTACATATCATTATCAAGTAATTATGTATAAGTTATTACGACATAACATAGAATAGTAAAAATAGTAAAGCACATCCAATATAAATGAAATTATTTTTTTGTCCTTATCAACATTTAAACGAGATTTGAGTTTACTGACCACAAATAAAGACAAAATTACGCTGTTCATTACGCTTGATGGATTAAAAAAAGGTTAAATTGTAAGTGGATCAATTTCGTTTATTAGTACGTATTGTTAAAGGGCTGCTAATACCATATGACTATGCAGATGTCATCTTTTTAGTTTTTTTATGCTAGCGTCGGCGTCTTTACAATAACGACTCACCAGAATTCATATTGTAATGTTACTGTGTAGCAAAAACCTGCTTCCATGCATAACAGCAGAGTAAACATTTTGCTAGAATTAGTAATTCTATGCAAACGCTGAAGGTTGAAGGATATAAATGGTTAATGTACAAAGTAAAATGTCACGTTTTTCATTTAAAGTCTCGTCGGGGGCTTAGATGCAAGCCTTTGTTTTGCAATAATTGTAAAAACGTTGATGAACGATGTGAACAACTGCTCTTGAAAAGCGTAAATATTCTTGCAACAAGTGAGGCACTCAAAAAAACGAGCCAATTTATTGGCGAGACGATGCGGGGAGCTTTTTTTTAATTAACAAGTCTTGGCAGTTTTTGCAAATATAACGGCGTTTTACAATAAATGATTTGCTTACAGGTGAACTCCTGACCGAAGGCAGTGACCACGTGGAAATAGTGGCTATAAAGGTATTGAAGGAAAATGCGACTCGAGAAGCTGAAGAAGACTTTATACGTGAAGTTGAAATTATGAGCGCCTTTAGGCACAATAATATTCTCTCTCTACTGGGAATGGTGGTTCGGGGTAAGTTCCTTTCCTTTGGATCAAATTTAATATTCTTCATTCTTGAAAGTCTAATGCTCGAATTATTTACATCACTTCCTTATTTCGGTTTAATTATAAACGCGTAAAATTCCATAAATTGTTGTTGGTTTTCAAGCTTACGCAATAAAAAAAGAGATCAAAAACACCGAAGGTTCATGCATACAGATTTTTTAAATTTCAAGATAAAACAAGCGAATTAGGGCAGGAAAATTAATTCCATACAGCATTTCACTTCTCACTACCGATTACAGTACTTCGAGAGTACTAATTACATGGAAGTATAAGAAGTACAAAATAATTTCACGACGCGAGAAAATTAGTAGCAATGCTTACGACTTCACAAAAAGTAAGGATAAATTATGTTTTATAGAAAGGATCAACATTTTGTAAATTGATTTAAAACATCATTGTTATTTTAATATGATAACGTGAAATTTACAATAGGTTATATAAGACAGTTATTGAATAAATAAAAAAAATCAACAGTGTCTGCGACAAGTCTAAAATAGAAACATATTTAGTTGAACGGTTTCTTTTATTTATTCGCTCAAGTACTATAAGTTTAACAGGTATAAAAATTAAGTTACGAGCATTGTTGAAAACACATTCCTCCAGAAAATGTTGTTATGTAATTCTGATATACGTAAATTTCTTGATATTGTATTTAAAAATAATAACAATACAAAAATACTAAAAAAAACAAACAAAACATTTGTCTTATTACCTTAATAGTGACAAATTTTTCAGAGTATTTGGAAGTAAAGTTTTAGTGTATTAGTGTTTTTATTGTTTTCTGTAGAAAGTGTTACATATTATCTTAAATTTATAGACTTCTACGCCATAACGCTATGTTATATAGGTATACTTAAAGTAAAATAAACTTAAAAAGTAAGTATTACTTAGTTTTCAAGTTAAATTTTGATTGCATAATTTTTGTGAGTTATTTTTATTAGATTACATTCAACTGATTAACTGCATGTTAACGAGTGTTTAATAAACTTCACGTTTGCAGTTGGCAGTTCGTCGTCGAACGTAAGTAGCGTTTTACGGTTGCTGTCGATTAAAGTGCCATTCAAGACTTTAAAAGCTTTACTAATGTGAAGTAAACTTGACATCAACTGTAAGGCACGATGTATTTTCAATAATGCGTAATCAACTGCAAACTTAAAATTATTGAAGTTAATGGACATAACTAATTTTCCACATTACTAAAATTCTAATTAAAAATGTGTATCATTTATTTAAGTATCTTGAACCTTTAAAGCATCTACATAAATGAATTTTTCAACATACCGATATTTTTATAACTAAATAATAATGCGTTTTGTCAATAAGCGGAATACTTTTAGATTTGGGTTTATAAATACTTCCAATACACTACATTGGGGAACGTATTAAAACTTAAAATAAACAACCACGTTCCGTTGTGTACTTACAACACGCAAAACCTAGAAAAAACTGTTATATCTATAGAAACATAGAAAATGCAGTGGGGATTATGTACGTTAACGTAAAATATGTTGTACGGAACGTAACTTCGCTAATTGTCTAATATGTGAACAGCTAAACAGTAATAATTTTTAGTTTCAAGTCTATGATTATTTGCTAATTGTTATTATTCTAGACTTCTTGGAGTGTGAAAATTAGGTACAACTCTGTATTGCACCATTAAATTAATTATTACATTAAAACGTAGCTCATGCGAATTTAACTGGAGAACTTTTTGTGTAAATTGGTCACATATGTGTGGGTATGAATGTGATATACAAAATTTAATATTAATAGATAAAAAATTCTGGAAAAAAACCTAATCCCTATTTCTAACATATTAGAAATAAGTATTATGTTTTATCATAGCATTCATAGGAAATGTCTATATTCTAGCCTGGTCTTGCATCATATTTGAGCATTGTTGAATAAAATATTTAGTAAAAATAATTTTTCATGTAATTTTTGAAAGCGTAGCTTTTATTTTTATAGATTATTTGTGAATTTTTAGACAAGTTTTTCAGGAACTCAATTTTTCAATACCCTATGAAAATTTCGACCCTTTTGCGATCACCTTATATGATGATGAATGATTTTTTTGTACATTTCCAAAAGTAATTTTCGGTCCCACTTTTTCCTACCATTTTCCACTATCGTCCAGTGACTTATGTGTTACTTAATAAGTATCTTCTAGTTTCTATTACCAATATTACCAATTAATTCTAAATGTATTTTTTCAAATCGACTAAGAACGAAATTTACATCTGCAGACGACAAAATTATTTATTTATCCCCTTCAAAAATATAATGACGTCATTTCAAAGAATTATTAAACGAACATTTATAAAAAAAATGCTTTGAGACTAGGCAATATATCGAGGCCCGAAAAACCCCCTTGTCTTATTTTTTCGATTGCAGCATTGTGTGTATGTATATCAAATTAAATCATTTTAGATATACTGTTACGATCTGACTTAAAAAACTAATTTTTAATGTTTATTTATTGTTGCCTACGATATTCAACTTTTTTTAATGACACCCTATATATATATATTGTTAGAGATTCTTAAAGAGATTTTGTCTGAATTCTTTGACGTATCATACTTTAACATTTTCAGAAACTAATAATTTAATATTTCCAATAAAATTTTGAAATTTCGTGTCGAAAAAAATTAATTTTAAGCACTTTTTAATAAAATGTGACATTATGATACCGGAATGAATTCAGAAAAAAAATATGTGCAAGAATCTCTAAAAAATATATAGGATGTCAAAAAAAAAGTTTAACACCGTAGGCAAAAACAAATGAGCTTAAAATTAATTGTTCAAATTAGTTCATAGTATATTTAAAGCGATTTTTAATTTGACGTACACACAATGATATACTCGAAAAACTAAGAGAGCTATGGACGTGGGATTTTTTTTCAAGCAGACAGTATTTTTATTGTTTGTCTGACCGACAATATTTCTGAGTTTTCTGACTTTTCGTTGCTTATATAACTACTTTAGTACCTTCTAGTTTCTATTACTGACATTACAAATTAATTCTGATTACTAAACCCTTTCAAACTGACCAGTCCCGAACATGTTCATTTGCCAACAATCAACCCAGTGGTAAATTTGCCAGCTAACTTTTTTTCCAGCGGCGAATAGGTGCAGTCAATAATAACAGAACTGTATACTCAAATTTTCAAGAAAACGGGGTAAGTCGTTCTTGATTTGATCAATAAAATAAAAATTGCCTCATTCATTAATTTTTCCTCATCAGTAGTTCTAAAAAATATGAATGCATTCATAAACAACAAATTCATAATATTTTATATACTTATTCGACAAAATTTTGAGATGACGTCATCAATTTTTGGGAAGAGGATAAACTCAACACGGATTGATAATCCACAAGTCCAGGAGTATCTTATTCTATAAAATTTAAATAACATCCCAGTAAACACAGTTGTGATGTTGACGTGACAGGTACGTACTCACAAAAGAACAATAAGTACATCGCATGATTATGTCTTAACGATATACCTGGAACGTAAGCTATATAACATCACAATGGAGTACTCATGCTATGTAACAAACACGTAATGTTGACTACATTTCAGTGGCGGCTCCTCAGAGGAGGCAGGGGAGGCTGAGCCTCCTCTATTTTTTGGAGCTGAGCTTCCTCTAATTTTTTTCGATGAAAGAATTTATATTTTTGTAGACATTTGTTATTTTTCAGAATATTTTCTTGGATTTCATTTACTTTCATCATATATCAGGTTAAAATGTCGGAAAAATTTATATTTGCGCCCTCACAATCATAATTCACCTTCACACCACTTCGCGTTTGGTTTCAGCGGCAGAGGCTTGCAAGCCGCTAGCCTCCGAACGACGATGCATCTGAATAATGAGACCGTAACCTTGACGCACCGTCCGTGGGTATTGCATTGGCTAAAACGTTCATCGGACTGCCGCTCCAAGCCGCTAGCCTCCGGCTAGTTCATTTCTTTTCAGATCAAGTCGTACAGATAACTTTATCTCTTTCTTATTAGTTGGAGCAATCGGGTGTAAGTAGGAAAAACATTGAGGTGGTTTCGCGAGCTCCCTGTTCAGTGGTGGTGGTGTTTAGGCTTTACGTAGGTAAGGGTATAAAAGGGAAGACCAACACCATCACTCCCATTAATGGTATTGACAGTTACAATTAGAAACAAAACAGAGCATTTCATGAAAATAATTATAATAAAACTAAATAGTTAACGGCTTCGGTTTTAAGAAACAAATTATACTGCTGGAATTGTGTATTATTTATAAGTGATAAACTGATAAATCTTCCGCTTGGGGTAAAACAGGCTATAATAATTTACAAAATTTGTCGCGAGCTATAGAAAGGCATGAAAAATCACAGGAACACATATTTTCTTCGATTAAATTAGAAATGCTTGGTAAGCAAAACATTGCCAATAATTTAGATTCGGCTCATAAAAGGGAGAACTGTTACGAGAAAGTTGGTGAAAATTGGGCAATTTTGAAAAGACCAATCGATGCAATATAATTTATCTGTCAACGCAAGAGTGTTCTTTTCGTGGGCATGACGAAAAAAATTATTCAGATAATAAAAGATATAAAAAGTAGTGCTTTTCAAATTTGAGCCTCCTCTGAAGAAAACTTCACGAGCCGCCACTGCTACATTTACTAGATATCTCATTATTATGTCGCAGCGATATAGCTTGCATATAAACATTTAAACATCACACTGTGGTACTCTTGTTATGTAACTAACACCTAATGTTAACTGCATTTACTAGATATCTCATTATTGTGTAGCAGCGATATAGTTGGCAGGTAAGCCTTGTAACATCACAATGGAGTATGTAACCAATAAGTAATGTTAACTGTCGTTACTAGATATCTGATTAATATATACATATACATTCTTCGGAATGTTTTATTTTTATTAGTTAATTATGCAAAGTGTTTTCAGTTGATTTTACAAAATGGCATGT